GAGCCAGACAACATTATGAAAATGTTAAGCTATTTGTATAGAAAAGATTGAACAAGGTTGAGAGCTTGAAGCTCCCCTCAAGTTCCTCCTCATTTTACATATCAGGGACCCAAGGCCCAGAGATATTAAGAGGTTTATGTTAGTAATTGACAAATACAAAGTGTAAACCAGGACTCTCTCTACTATCAAAATAGTTATTTATCATTACACAAGGAGTTAAAGAATCAAGGTATTAATATGGGCAGAAAAATGAAGAAATAAAGGAACTAGACTTTTAGAAATAGACACCACATACAGATGAGCAAAGAGGAGGGAAATGGAAGTCCAAGGGCAATCATTTTTAGCAATGACTGGAAATACGAGTGAGTATGGGATGCAATAATGAGATGTGTTGAAGACAGAAGAGAAGGAAGACTCAGCACAGAAGCCTGCTCAAAAGGACATGAGATTCATGTTGGGGAAGAGGCAGGGCATAAAATAATTTTTGAATCAAATATCTTGGTTGGAGATTTATAACCAAGGCTGTCACCATTATCATCATGCATGCTTTTTGTTTGGCTCTGGTTTTAGTCTGCCTATGTGTGCTCACACATGTGCACATGCACTGACATGGATCCAGTGATATTGTGCAATGTTGTGAAGGGAAATATGTGTGACTTCCCCGATTTCAATGTGATTGTGTGTGAATTTTGCACAACTAATTCAAACGATGCCACCTCATATGAAATTCAGCTGTATTATTTTCCGGTTTTATTTCATGCTAACACTAAAATTTTCTACCACACATTTGGATTTAATTCACTTCTTTGTTTTTAAACACTAAATTAATATTTCATAAAAGAATAGCTAATTCAAAATCATTAAAGTTTGTTTAAGATGTCCTTCTCTTGAACTGAAACTATACAATAAAGTGTTTTCAATGAAGATTGCAGCAGTACCCTTGCCTGGGGGTAAATATTATAATAAAACCAATCAAAGATATTATAGTTATGAAATCTCCATAAAATTACCTATTTCAGCAATGTTGCATAAAAAATAAATTTTAAATATTTTTAAAAATAGACATTTTGCATTATGTTTATGTTTTTGTAAAGATACTGCTCTTTTTATTCTTTCTCTAAAATTATTGGCCCACAGAAAATAAATACGATGGGGAATATACTGGGTGTTTAAAGTAAGAGTTACCTTGACCACTCTCCAATTCCACTGAAATTAGAGACTGTGAATAATAAACTCACCTTCTGTATTTTACTGACTACTTTGTGGAAAAGGAAAAAATAGAATTCCAATATCTAGAATCTTTGATTATCCCTTCACATATACACTTTCTACTATCTCAGAAGTAATTGGCTGAAATATAATTATTATTCATCATCAATGCTGAAAAATTTAAACAGAAGGGGCAAGAGGTTTTGCCCCTACCACCACCTGAAACCCTCCCAGCACAAATTACTGCCTGATTCTAATTACAGCTTTAACCACTGGCTGCGGATTCTTTCATGGGTGGTGAGGTAATCCAATCAGGTGGATTGGGAGCTCACGTTAAACACACCACATACAGAAATTAAAGTATGACTGATGGGTTTAAAAGCCGTTAATCAACATGTAGGGAAAGCTAATTCAATTCTCTTATGTTCCCCCATTCTAAATCACTGCCCAAAGCTTATTGGAAGTTCTCATTCTTGATTAGAAGGAAATATAGGTGTCAAACTCACTTTTATCTCTTTTCCAACTTTTCAGACTGCTAGTCAGCTGAATTAGGTCTACCTAACTTTTTTATTTTTTTAAATCAGAGACTTTAAGGTAATAGTATATTCACTAGGCATTTTCACAGGTCAAGGCATTCCAGGTTTCATTAATGTGCAGGTCTACATGACAGTTAATCTGCATCCATAATATATTCACTGGAAGATACAGTGGGTTTATTTCTTCAAGTACCTTTTTAACTGATACATTTAGAAGCATGCAAATAGCCAATTATCTTTACCTGAAGACCATTAAAAGTCTATCTGCATCAAGGACAGGCAGCAGTGGCTAAACCACAAGTATAAACTGGCAGCTTATCCAGAGTATAAGTGTGAAGGCTGGGATGAGGCACATGGTAATTAAAAACATTCTCAAAGTCTCCCTGTGAGAAATGTTCTTGGTTTTGGATGGTGCTGTGTATGGGCTTTCAGCCACACATTCTCTTGTGATGCATGTGAGCAAGCCATAATTTGGAGACATCTTAAAAGAATTCAGCAGAAACAAATGTGCTTATATCTTTCTGATCGGCACACTCTCATTTTTCTTAGAACCTAAAATTAATGAGGGTTGGGGGAGTGCCACTGGCTTTGTGATATATACTATGTAAGAATAATTTTAGTTTAGAAAGTTATTTGCTTTGAATTGGATTGCTGATGTTTTTAGAGATTTGCAGCGAGAAGGAAACCCTGGAATGAATGAAAAAGCCATTTTGAGCAACATTTTTTCCTTTTAAGATAGGTTTAGAAACAACAGTTACAACCAAATAGGTTTTGGTTTTAGCAAAGAATCTGTTACATTACAGCAATGTCTGATTTAAGAAAACTCCTGAGGTTCCTCATTACCACTTCCAAAAAATGAACATTTTTACAGATTGACATATACAGAGCAAATACAAGTTTGCTATAATTAGTGATTAGTAATTTATGATCAAAATGTATGGCGTCATAAAGTGTTTTATATGCAGTCATTAGCTTACGCTGTTAAGACAAATTTTCAGTCTCCTGGTTTAGTTTCGATCTCTTAATTATTTCCACAATATTGGATTGAAGCATAAGCTTTAATCATTGCATGGATGCTTAGACTCCTCCTTGTTCCACTTTCCTGCCCTGCATGGACGTCCAGGGCCTACTCCTAACCGCATCCTTGACCTGGACTATTTCATGTGCTGATCTGTTTGGCCCTAACCTTCAGTCATGACGTCAACTCCCCCAATTAATATAAAAATTACCTAACTTTGCACTTGTGATTAAGTGTTATACCCACATTCTACCATAGGCCCACCTAGTCTGTCGTTCTCAGAGCTGGCATGGGCACACTTGATGAATTAGTTTATTCCTTTCACAACAATATGAGAGATTATGGTTGCTGTGTCTATGTTCTTATGAGATATTGAGAAATTATTACTCATAGCTGGGATGTAAGAGAAAATACATGGCAGAAGATTTTAAAATGTATAGCCAATGATGAAGGTAAAAAAGCACTGGTCTAAGACCTAGGTTTGACATTGTTACCAAAAGCCTCAAATTCTTTCTTAGAAAATGAGGGCTATCCAAGCTTATAATGGCTACTATTGTTCAGTGCTTACTGTGAGCCATGGTTTTCTCATTTTGTATTCAAAACAGTTCTGCAAGGTATATGCCATTTTACAGATAAGGAAACTGGAGCTTAGCAAATAAGCAATAGAGCCTAGCTCCAAACACAGGCATCACGTGCATTCTTAGGCAATATTCTAGACTCCTTCTTAATTACTTTCTATCAGAAGGGATTCTATGATAATCTATCCTCCAGAACATATTCTAGCAGAAAAAAGAAAGTAGGAAAAAGGAAAAAAAAACAAGATAAGAGCTATCTGTATCTGTATTTTTCCTGTCTTCTTATTTCAGAGCCGGTGTTTTAGAAAGCAAGAACCACATTATATGTATAACTCTAATTTCTCCAGCATGTCTAAGAATCAGGCCTGCTGTTAACAGTGCTGACACTATGGTAGATCATTGTTGGCTGAGTGAGCATTAGGTTGAAAAAATAACATCTAAGTTTAACTGAGGATGAGAGAATATTGTAGACACACACTAAACTATTAAATGGACAGTTAATTCTTTACAGAATAAAGCCCTGGAAGGAAAGAATGTATGTATTACCATACATAAATATGGGAATATTTAAGAAAAGCCATCAATTTGGATGCTCTGATGGTAAACAGGAATTCTGAGTCAAACTGAAGGAAACAATGTAGGGATTTGTTATTATTGTTTTGTTTTTTGGCTCATGGACCTAAAAATCCAGAAATCAGGCTGACTTCAAGAATGGATTGATCAAAAACTTTTCAAGGTCTAAGTTTCTTCCCTCTCTCCACTGTGTTTATTGTATGGGCTTCTTTCTGTCTGGTTCTCTTCATCTCATTAGGTTGCAGCAAGGACATGATTTGGTTTTAAGGCACCGCACAAAGTACTGAGGTTCTCTCAAATGCATGTGCCTGAAATTTCATGCCCACCACCAAAGCAATCACTTCCTCCAGAATATTCTGTTTGGTTTAGCATAGACCACCTGCTCCACCTAAAGCAGGAACAGAGATACCTTTTCTGGAACCACATCGATTACCAAAAAATAAAAAACGAAAAAGAGAAGGGGTGGGTTTTGGGATAAGTAAATGGAGATGCAAACTGGTACTGAGAATGCAGCCAGACAATGTCAATTAAAGAATCTTCCCGACCATTTGAAGGCCAAGTGTCATCTTCAGGGATTTGGGTGGTATTTATTAACCGAGTTCCCTAGGGGTGACACTTCCACTTGTCTGATTTGGTTCAAAGATGAGTCTTGGACTCTGTCTGAATCTCAAGCAGTGTTCTAGTAGTGGTCTTACAAGATGGATAGTGGAGCAGGCCAGTGGCATGGGCCAGATACAGTCGGGGAGACAGATAACCCGTCGATTGGGAGGTCTCCATCCAGAGATCATTTTCAGAATTTGGGAGACCATTTCCCCTGTCTTACAACTATATTCAATCTGAGTCAGTTATGAGGCATTTCTTTTATAAAGGGAGTTAAATGCTTTTGTAACAGTATGCTTGGTTTAAGGTTTATGAAAGTTGTTGCAACTATGCTGAGGTGGCTTTGTCTCCTGGAAATCCCTTGACCAGAGTTGGAAATCCCCAGCCCAGGTTGCATCATACAGCTAAGTGACACATAGTGTCACCTGAGTGAGATGGGAGTAGGCCTAATGGCTATGATTAATCTTGTAATCACAATATGTCTCTTCAAGCAGACTACACTGAAGAGTTTCCTGTGATGATTGTTCAGGACACCAACAGCCCTTGCACAGATGTCATTGTTGCTATCGTGGTAAGTTGATACTTGGCTTATAGGAAAATGTGCTGGTTGGTTGTATTGTCTTTCTCACACACCTGAATCCACTTTATTTACTAACCGCACATTTTTCTGTGTGAAATACTCCAGGATTTATAATTCCTCCAAAACACAAAATACAACAATTGTAATTTAATTATTCCCAAGCATTAACTTTACTCTTTAAACATCTTTTCATATCATACATGATTTCAAATTTAAATAACCTAAAGAGGAAGAAAATTTCTAATTCATTCTGAGAAAGATTTCTTTTGACCCTTCTTACTTAAAACTAATACACCTTTTTAATGATCTTAACTCACTCACTATATTTTCAAAGAACATATATGAAATAGGAAGTCAAATATTTCTAGCTACTATTCAGATAATCAGTACTTTTTAGAAAAAAAAGTATCCATTTTTTAGAAGATGTATAATCTTGAAGGTCCTGATCTTTAAGGATGGACCTCACAAAGTCCATGAGCAACCAAAAATTGCTTTCAAATATTTTTGTACATGTGTTTTGTATTACTCAGCTAGAGCTTCCATAACAAAGTTTCATATACTGGGGGACTTCACAAAAATTTATTTTCTCACAGTTCTGGAGGATGGAAGTCTAAGATCAAAGTTTTTGTAGGGTTGGTGTTTTCTGAAGCTGCTTATCTTGGCTTGAGGATGACCATCTTCTCACTGTGTTCACTTTTCTCATGGGCTTTTCTCTGTGCATATCCCTAGTGTCTCTTCCTTTTCTTCTAAGGACTTCAGCCCTACTGGATTGGGAACCCACCCTTAGGAACTCATTCATCCTTAATTACCTCTTTAAAAGTCCTATTTCCTAATACAGTAACATGAGACTGAGGGCTTCAACATATACATTTTTGGTGGAACACTAGTCCATAATATGATTAGTCTTTGTGCCCCACTGAAATCTCATCTGAATCATAATCCCCATGTGTCAATGGAGAGACCATGTAGAGGTAATTGAATCATGAGGGTGGTTTCTCCCATGAGGGTCTCATGATAGTGGGTGAGTTCTCACTAGATCTGATAGTTTTATAAGGGTCTCTGAAAGTGGCTTTGCAAAATTATAACTGAGGAAATTATGACAGTTAAGGAAATCAGACCTAACTGACTCCATCTTGCTTCCAGCTTTTAAGCTGTCCTTGTTCATTCCTGGGCACTGGCCAAACTAACTTTAGGAAGGAATCCAGCTTGTGGTTTGACTCTGAAGCAAAACTGATAACAGCTCTTTTCCCCAAAGACACACTTCTTCCCTTGTGACCAACCTGCCTTTGCAGGACTAACAGATTAGCTATAAGATAAGAAATTACAATTTAGTGTTATGCAGCCTCTCACTCCAAGAGTCTGAACCTCCCCAAATTACTCCTGGAGATAGCATTGCTACTGTAAAACTAAAGATTAGTGCTTGAGATATTTTGTAGACCTTGCACTCAATGGATCAGCTGGCACCACCCAGACTTGTAATCTGCCTCAGCCAATTTTGCTATCCTACCCAAAATATAAGATACCAAGGATAATTCACTCTGACCCCATATGATTCCATCTCCAACCTGACCAATCAGATCTCCACACCTTCCAAGCCCCCACCCTACAAATTATCTTTAAAAACTCTGATACCTGAATGCTCAGGGAGACTGATTTGAGTAATAACTAAACTCTGGTCTCCTGCACAGTTGGCTGTGCATGAATTACTCTTTCTACATTGCAATTCCTTTGTCTTGATAAATCAGGACTGTCTAGGCAGTGGGCAAGGTGAACCCATGGGTCAGTTACAGCTCTTTCCTCTTCACTTGACACTTCTCCTTCCTGCAACCCTGTGAGGAAGTTACCTTGCTTCTTCTTTGCTTTCCTCTATGACTAAGTTTTCAGAGGCCTCCAAAGCCACGCTAAACTGTGAGTCAATTAAACTTTTTCTTACCCAGTCTCAGGAAGTTCTTTATAGCAGTGTGAAAACAGACTAATACAGTAAATTGGTACCACAAAGAGTGGAGTGCTGCTGTAAAGATACTTGAAAATATGTAAGTGAATTTGGAATTAGGTAACAGGCAGATGTTGGAACAGTTTGGAAGGCCCAGAAGAAGATAGAAAGATTCAGGAAAGTTTGGTACTTTCTAGAGACTTGTTGAATGGTGATAGTGATATGGAAAATAAAATCCATACTGCAGGGGTCTCAGATAGACATGAGGAATTTGTTGGAAACTGGAATAAAAGTGACTCTTGCTATACTTTAGCGAAGAGACTGATGACATTTTGCCTCCATCCTAGAGATCTGTGGAACTTTGAACTTGAGAGAGATGATTTAGAGTATCTGGTGGAAGAAATTTCAAAGCAGCAAAGCATTCAAGAAGTAACTTGGGTGCTCTTTAAAAACATGCTATTTTATGCATTCACAAAGAGGTGGTTTGGAATTGGAACTTACGTTTAAAAGGGAAGCAGAGCATTAAAGTTAGGGAAATTCCCAGTGTGATGATGTGATAGAAAAGAAAAATCAGTTTTTCTGAGGAGAAATTCAGAAAAGCCTGGTGCATAAATTTGCATAAGTAATGAGGAGCCAAATGTTAATGTCCAAGACAATGAAGAAAACATCCCTAGAGTATGTCAGAGGTTTTCACAGTCGCACCTCCTATCACAAACCTGGAGGCCTAAGAGAAAAAAAACTGGTTTCCTGGGCCAGGCCAAGGGCCTTGCTGTTTTGCACAGACTCATGACTTGATACCCTGCATCCCAGCTCTGGCTAAAGTGACCAACATGCAGCTCAGACCATTGCTTCAGAAGATGCAAGCCCCAAGCCTTGGTGGCTTACACATAATGTTGAGCCTGTGGGAACACAGAAGTCAATTCAGGTTTGGGAACCTTTGGTTAGATTTCAGAGGATGTACAGAAATGCCTAGATGTCCAGGCAGAAGTTTGCTACAGGGGTGGAGCCCTCATAGAGAACCTCTGGTAGGGCAGTGCAAAAGGAAAAATGTAGGGTTAAATACCCCACACAGAGTCCACACTGGGGCACAACCAACTGGAGTTGTGAGAAGAAAACCATGAAACTCCAGACACCAGAATGGTAGATCCACTGACAGTTTGCACCCTGTACCTGGAAAAGCCACAGACACTCAACACCAGCCCATAAAAGCAGCCAGAAGTGGGGTGCTGTTTCCTACAAAGCCACATGGGTGGAGCTTCCTAATACCATGGGAACCCACCTCTTGCATCAGTATGAACTGAATATGAGACATGAAGTCAAAGAAGATAATTTCAGAACTTTAAGATTAAACTGCCCCACCAGATTTCAGATTTGCATGGGGCCTATAGCCCCTTTGTTTTGGCTAATTTCTCCCATTTGGAATGGGTGCATTTACACAGTGGCTGTACCTCAGTTGTATCAAGGAAGTAATTGATTTGCTTTAGCTTGTACTGGCTTATAGGCAGAAGGAACTTGCCTTGTCTCACATGAGACTTTGGATTGGACTTTTGAGTTAATGCTGAAATGAATTAAGGCTTTGGAAGACTATTGGGAAGGCATGACTGGTTTTGAAATGTGAAAGGGACATGAGATTTGGGAGGGGCTAGGGGTGGAATAATAAAGTTAAACTTTGTGTCCCCACCCAACTCTCATCTTGAATTATGTAATTCCCATAATGCCCACGTGTGAAGGAAAAGACCAGGTAGACTCATGAGGGAGGTTTCTCCCATGATGTTCTCATGATAATGAATGTGTTCTTACAAGATATAATGGTTTTATAAGGGGCTCTTTCCCCTTCAGTAAGCACTTCTCCTTTCTGCCACCCTGTGAGAAGGTACCTTGATTCCCCTTCACCTTCTGCCATTATTGTAAATTTCTTGAAGCCTCCCCAGCCATGTTGAACTGAGGCAATTAAAACTCTTTTCTTTATGAATTACTGAGTTTCAGGCAGTTCTTCATAGAAGCATGAAAATGTACTAATACACTTCATAACATATATATTTGGATTTTTTAGAATGGGATTCCATATCATTATTAGATTCTGAAAATAATCTCTGATTACCAAATAGTTTAAAAACCATAGATTGAGACCAAATCTTTCATTTTATACATAAGAAAACAGAAACCCACAGGTATTAAATAGTCTTTGATCATACAGCAACTTTCTAATTAGTGAAGTGAAAACTCATGTCTACCTGATAACTTGTTCAGTGAGTTCCCTGTGGGACTCTGCAGTTTGTATTCACAGCAACTGAAAGCTAATTTAATATATGAATTCACAAGGAATGGGTGTGAATGTAGTGGGGTGGCTAAGCTAAGCCTAAACCGAGATTGCTTGAGTTACAATATGTGAGAGATAATGAAAAAGGAAACTGTTGTTATCAAATACCTGGGGCAGATTTAGGAAGATTTGAAAAAGTAGACAGAATTTTATTTGGGAAAATGGTTTCCAACCAGTTGGTAAAACTATCTCTAAGCCCCTATATAGAGAGAAAAGAGCTAGCTGTAAACAGATGGTAAAAGAACTGTTTGAATAAGGAATCTCATGAGATTTAGGACACAAGCAAAGCAGCTTTAGAGCCCTAGTAATTAGTGAAGTCCTAGAAGCGGGAATTAGGATTCTCTCCATTTCTCTCTGAAATTCAATAACATCATGTGGAGAATCTGCAAGGAGCTCTCCGAGGACAGCAGCAGGCTGGGGAGACCAGGGACCAGAGAGCCAGCATGGTTGCACTTCCCAAATGACTTCCAGTCAGTGGGCTTCACTGAGAACATCAAAATGAAAGAAGGCAATTCATGTGACATATCCTGGCTACTTCCAGAAATAATTAGCATGAATTTAATAGGAGTGCTGATGTTCTATAGTCACCTAGACAGGGGCCACAAGCAAGCCATATTTGGTAATTAAGTTAATATGTGCTTAAACTGGGAATATGAAGTCCAGGGATATTCTCTCTCTCTCTCTCTCTCTCTCTCTCTCTCTCTCTCTCTCTCTCTCTCTCTCTCTCTCTCTCTCTCT